TGACATCAAAGAAGTCTTAGCTTTAAGGTGACACCAAAATAGGTTAGAATATCTTGTTCATTGTCAAGGATATGATATTAGTGAATGCACATGGGAACCAACCAAAAATCTTGTAAAAGTAGGAAAGAAGGTTGATGCTTTTAATAAATGAAATTGATCAAAATCAAAATGAAGAATAACAAATCTTTGTTAGAAAAGAAATGCTATTAAGAAAGATTACATTCTACATTCTATCTTTGTTTGTAATTTATGTATATTTGTAGCACTAAAGAGATATAAAACGAAAAACTAACAAATTAAATCCAAAAGTTATTGTTTGCTAATTTATTAGATAAGATATTACAATTGTCAAAACCTTAAACATGATGCAATAGAGATGAAGATTCTCAAAAAAAACATGTTTTTTCTCAAATAGATGAAAAAATATAACGTATTTGATATCACAACCTTGAAAGAGACTCTTAATGCTTATTAACATTATTAGAGGTATAAACCACCTTTGACATTGTTTCAATTATTTTATTTGAAAGAAGTTACAAAGGCCTTAATAATGATCAAATATTAGGATAATTTTCTTGCTTTGATACAGGATACTATTGATGGTTGAAAGAACCTATCAACCATCTTCAAAGAAAACAAAGTTCAAAGTATGTAACAAACACAATTTTTCAATTTTGTATGATATGAATTTTGCTTGAGAATGATTAGACACCTAATTGTAGATGGAAAAATGAAACTTGAAACAAGATGATTCCAACAACTCTAATAGAATCTTAAACAAATTCTAATTAAATTATAATAATTTTATTCAATCTTTAATTAAATCCAAAAAATATTTTAAGAATTTATAAAAAAAATATCAAAAAAACTTTTAAAAAATATCAAAAATAAAAATTCTAATTGAACTTTAATAAAATTTTAATGTAATTTTTAATAAATTTTAATGAAATTTTAAATAAATCCTATTCAAAGCTTAATAAAATCCTAATCAAATCTTAAATCTTAATCCTACACCAAATTCTAATAAAATTTTGGTCAAATCCTAATCAAATCCTAGTTAAACCTTAAATCCTAACCAAATCTTAGACAAAACTTAAACCTCAACTAAACCTTAAATCAAATCCTGGATAAATTCTAAATCTTAATCATATCTTAATCAAATCTTAAATCAAATCCTAACAAAATCCTAATTAAGTCCTAAATTCTAATCTTAGATCAAATTTTTGTAAAATTATAATTAAATATTAGGCAAATTCTAATCATATACTAATCAAATCCTAATCAAATTTTAGACATATCATAATCAAATCTTAAACAAATCTTAATCAAATCCTAAAAAAATTTTAAATCCTATTAAATCCTAATCAAATCTTATATCTTAAATCTATCCTAAATAATTCTTAATCAAATCTTAAATTTTAATCCTAAATCAAATTCTAATGAAGCCCTAAATTCTAATCAAATCCAAAATAAATCCAAAAAAATTCCAAGTAAATTTTAATTAATTATTTTAACTGTTTGAAACCTTAATAAATATTAATTGAACCATATATCTTGTTTAAAATTTTATTTAGACTTCAATCAATAAGCAATTAATAAATACAAAATATTTGAAAAGAATCAGATTTATCAATTACAAAAAAATCTCCTAAAACCTCTCTATTGTTGGTAGCTCTACTTCTCCAATTAAAATTTTGATCTTTCAACACCAACTTTTTCTTATTGAATTATTCAATTACTCCAAATATTGGATTATGTATAAATATTCAAGTATTAATTTCTTTCACCAAATTTTGCTTCAATCCAATTAGAAAATATTGCTAGAATCTTGAAATCATTCACAAATCTTACATTTCAAAGTTTAAGACCATAATCCACAAAAACCCTTATATGCTTCAATCTAACTGCTTGATTAACTTCAAATTTCTTGTATACATTTATTACAAGCACAACAATAAACTACCAAAATTTTATCCATAAACAAGCTTTAAAACTCATAAAATCCTAAAATTTGTAAACTTATAAAAGCCTCAAATCAAAGTAAATGAAATAAGAAAATCATATATGCAACTTTCAACTTTTTATTGCTTTTTTATCATTTATCCTTATTCTTCTACTATATCTTTTTATTAGATTCTTTTATAATAACATCCACATTTTATTTTTCACCATATACTCATGTTATCAAACAATACCACATCTTAAACTTCTTCAACATATGGTCATTGTTCCTCATGGAACTCGTCTCTAGAAGGAGAGGGGGATGTCACAAATATACATATTTACCTAAATGAGAAGTATTAGGTAGAAGATAAATATTAATAGATTTTATACTCTTTGGTGGCAAATCTTTTAAGAAGCTTTATAGATGCTTATTTGATTTTATAAATTTTTATAGTTACTTGGTAGGCTAGAAATTTGGCCAACAAATTAGTCATGTATCACATATGTTAATAGCTTGTAGAACAAGTTAACTATGTGGCATACATAAAAAAAACTTGTCTTATAAGTTTGACATGTGTTGGAGATTCTATAGTAAGTTACCATGTAGCTTCTAATTAGATAGTATATATAGAGGCAAGAATAAAGCCTTCTTTATTCTTATCAATATCTTTTTAGTTTTTAGTCTTATTTTAAGATTTTTTTAATTTTCTTGTTTTTGACAATAGTCATTCTAATTTAGTATTACACTAACTTTGAGTGAATTTCTAGTCTTTTTGAATGGCACAAGAATATATTAATCTTTTAGTTTTTTTGAAATTCATGTCTTAGACACAAACTTCTCAACCATACTAATCTCTGTCTTCTTTATACTTATAGTAGCAAGACTTTTTGGATTTAATTGTAAAGTTGATTTAATTTCTTCTTCCAATCACGTAACTTCTTCGTGTAGACATTGGACGTTATTTTTGATTTTTTTCATAATTATAAGAATATTATTTCTATGATTAAAGCTAAAAATATGTAAGATTTCTATCTTGGAAGTATTAACAAGCTCGTGAATATCTACAATAGTTATAAATCTATTATCATTTCTACAAAATATAGAATTTATAATTTTTTTTCTTTTATTTTTATAACAAATAACCATAACAAATTTACAAGTCAAAGTAGAGGAGGGTAATCAACAAATTTCTAATATCAAATAAAAATTTCTACAAAGAAAGATAATTTTTTTTTTTAAAGAATTAATATTAAAAAAAAAATGTTAGTTTGAAAGTAAGTAGTTCACAACCTTTAAAGCACAACAAAAGAAGTGAGGTAATCCATTTACTTCTAAAACAAAACAAGAATAGAGAATTAGTAATCTTATCAAATTGTCAAGGACATGGATCAAAAACAATAAAAACATTCATATATTCTTGTATTATTAAAAAAGAGTAGATTTGTGTCTAAAGATAGTATGATATTAAAAATAGAGTGGCTATTGCTAAAGACAAGAAGAATAGAATTTTTTTAAATAAGACTAAAAATAAGAAAGGCATTGATAAGAATAAAGAAGACCTCACTCTTACCTCCATATATATTATCTAAGTAGGAGCTACGTGGCAATGTTTTATAAGACCTTCAACACTTGTCTAACTTACAAAACAAGTTTCCTACATGTATGACATGTAGTCAACTTATTGGCTAAGTTTTCAACCTACTAATCACCTACAAATACATATAAAACCAAATTTGAATCTAAGAAGCTTCTAAGAAGCATTTTAATAAGATATCATCAAATTTTCTTACTTCTACTTACTTCTATTTAACTCTTTTAATTTAGATAACTATATATGTCTTTTACAATTTTGCATATTATTGTTGTAATATAAATATGATTAAGGTGAGTTGCAAATATTAAAGTATTAGAACTATTTTATATAGAAAAAAATCATGAATAATAATCTATTTATTCTCATATTCATTACAATATGGTCCTAAAAATCAAATCATCTTTGTACATTGTACATACTATGTATATATTATAACAGTGAATTTTTGTATGTTAATAATATAATGTAGATACAAATTTATCAACTCTTAGAGTCATTTCATTATTGATGTAAAATACAAAAAGCATCCATGTGCATTATAAACAATAGATTGATAAAATTGAAATGTGATTATTTTATCAAAAGATTATTTTATAATACAAAATGATATTTAATTTAATTAAGGCTTATTTACAAATTAACCTTGGGCAAACCTTAATAGCAAAAATACACATCTTAATAAAGAATCATTGCCTTACATATATGCAATACAAGTTACAATGTCCAACTTGATACAAAGTGCAAGAACTTTAGTACCTCAATCTTAGCATTATATAATTTATTAGTCAAAACAATTACAAGAAGCATAGTCACACATGAAACACAACTACAAAAATTTATAACAATCAATACCACAATTGATCATGATTGTTGTAAACAAAACTTGTAGTGACACATGAATTCATTGAACAACTTTTGTTACAAATCTTTTTTAACTACATAATGTCAAAGAAAAAAGGTAGAGCACACCTTGAAATGATTTCTTCTACAATGAAATACATCTACTATTTATTGCAATGAATTTCACATTCATGCTTTTCCATTGACTTCTCCTTTCTCACAACATTTTTCTCCTAATAATTATTTTTACTCTAATTCCTCTACTAAAAACTCAGCATTGATAACCTCAAGCAATAAGCATTTTTGAAGCTCTCTTGCATGATGGCCAAACGAATGAATTAGGGTTTCAACACCGAGTGGAGAACGGAGGTCTGTTTCAGAAGCAGCAATGCTTCATCGCCGAAGTGCTGACGTCGGAAAGTTTCTATTAGTAAGGTTATACTTGATATTTACAAGTTCTTAATTTGATTCATAGGTGTTTACACAATTACAAATGTTGTAACAAATATCATGATCAATCCAAATTTAGAACGAGAAAATCTGAATTCTAGGATCATGAAAACTTTTAAAGAACATCCGTCGTACGAAAGACGGTAGTCCCAGGTCGGAAAGCTTTAGGCTCATGGTCATGGCGCAATCGGCATCGCAGTGACTGCGCGGACAGGCTCCGAAGGAGTGCAGCGAAGCAGGAGAGGAAAGCGGTGCCGAATACCGAGAAACGCTGGGGCATGACTCTGCTGCGCCCTGTTGCAAGTTCCAGAGAACTTGTGTCTACATAAACCCTAAACCCTAATACGTTTACCCTTTGAGAGACCCCGCTGTCCTCGGGTCGTTGCTCAGCATCCCCTTGTACTCCAACGCAGCAGTGAATCTATGAGTTGCTGGATTGACCCAAGGAGATGTCGCCTGGTTCCTCGTCACTCTTGCTTCGCTCTCTCTGCCTTCGCACATTCGTAGAGGCGGCCAGTGAATCGTCATAGCATGCAGCCTTCTTCCCTCTTGTTGGTCTCTGTCAAAGAGACTGTGGTTTGTGCAAGAGCGATGCACATTGGGTGAGAAGGAAGTCGAGGAGTGGGTCCTTCGCTTGTTTTTCTCCTGTGTTGAGTCGCCGGTTAGAAAATTTTCGTTGTGGAGGAAGAGGGGCTGCGTTGAGGTTTCGGGAGATATGGCTTCTCAGCTGTCGCGTGCGGTAGCGAGGAAGCTTTTCTCGTTTGGTGCAGGAGGTGCGTCGCGTCTGAGGGTTGATTTGAATCCTTCGCATTTTGATTATGCTTCACTGATGTGTCTGAATGCTGTCTACGTGCATGTGAAGTCCTTCGTTCTAAACCTGCTTTCAGTGTAGTTGTTGGTGTGGCATTATTGGATTTGATAATTACTGGTGTCCACTCTGTTGTGATTTTGAATGTTGTGATTATTTCATTATTTGAAGATCGGGAGATGCACAAGTAGGTGCATGCGGCCTCTTTTTATTTTCAGTTTGTATTGTCACCTTGATCATTATGCATGCGAGAAATTGAGGGCGTTCGAGGATGGTTTTAGTTATTGGACTAAGTAAAAATTTCTCATTCGCATTTTAGTTATGGAACTGATGCATCTCGGATCCGTGGGTTCGACGAGCAATTGTTTCTAAGATTCTCTTTCATTGTGCATGCTCTATGTTCTGTAAAGCATGCGCTCGTGTGCCGTTAAAGCATGGGCTGCCCTGTAACATTCAACATTGAAGGGGTTGGTAGAATTCGATGTAGGAAGTGGCATAGATGCGCAATTGTAAGAGAATTTTTCTATTGCAGTTCTTTGAGAGTCGTTAGCGGAGGATTGTGGGTACATTTTTGTGCTTGTTTTCGCTATTCTGTACCGCAGAAGCTCTAGGAGTGGTCTTTGATCCGCGAAATATGTTAGGATTTGTTGGTCAAGGAGTAAGTTGTATGGCTAACGATCTCATAGACTTTTTGGTCTGATTAGAATTGTTTATTTAACTTACGCTTTTTCTTTTCTTTTTTCCTTTTTTTTCTTTTTTTGTTCAGGAAATCATATGTTAAGGTGATTTCGTGTCTATCGATTGATTGAATCATAATTTTCGGAATGACGATCTTGATTTGGTGATATAGCTTGATATTTTGTAGTTGAGAGCAAAGAGCTCCATGCTAATCGAGTATTAATATTTAAACACTGCTACATTTTTTGTTTGATGCTCTGATGAATACCGATGCTTTCAACATGGTAGCTTTCAAGGTTGCTTAACTCTGGTATATCTCATGGTTTAGTTCGTCGATTTCTGCCTGCAGGGAGGTTAAGGACATTGGAGGCTACCTCTATTAAAACCAAATATTGTAGCACGCAAGGTTTTAATGATTCTTCTCAAGATTCCGTGTCAGAGCTGAACACACAAGGCTTAGAGTTAAATCACAGTTCATCAGATACTACTCCTGAAACTTTTTCACCAATGTCCTCCGTCTCTCCTGGTGGTGGAGATCAATGCAATCAACCAGCAAGTCAACACTATGACAATTATTCATCTGGCCGCACCTACCAGCCTCGTGGTGTCTACAAGGTATTGTAACCACCAGATCGAATGCTTTTGGAAGCGGGATCTGTATGCTTAATTGAGTATTTTCTGTAAAAGTCTCGAAAGAGATGGCACTTCTTAAGATTTTCAGTAGCATACCGAGAGTTTCTAAAAATATCTTTAAGACAGCTTTTCATGATCTGAAATTTTGTGATAAATCTTTAAGTTCATGGGTATCTACGTTAACTATGCGTTTTGTTTTGTCACTAAACATAGGCCATACTCTTGGGAGAGGTTGGTCAAGCTCCCAGTCAAAAAGTCCTGAAGAGTGGACGAGCAGTCACCATTTTCTCTGTAGGTACTGGAGGAATGCACCTCAATCGTAGAATGTTTGATGGGGAGACTCTTGAAGAGTTTGCAGAGCGGAGCAATATGCAGTGGCATAGAGTGGCTGTTTATCAGGAACATATAGGGCATCTCATCCTGCGTTCTATGAAACAGGGGTACGTTGCTTCCAAGTTCCCTGTTGGTTCATGAGACTCGTTTTGAGATAAATGAGTTAGTACCAGTGTTGGAACCGCGTTTCTTGTTCTGGCCTTATCAAGTGTTCATAGCAACTAAAAGAAAGTGGATTTTGATATCGATTTTTTGATCTTATTAGGTCACAGGTGTATGTGGAAGGCAACATTGAGACGAGAATTTACAACGACCCCAATACGCAGAAAGTGAAGCGTATTCGAGAGATTGCAGTACGCCAAAATGGTACATCCATGTTATATATTTGTGTTTAGTTCCTCGTGTTATTTGTTAATATTATATTGTTAAGGATGGGAATTTGAGCAACTGCAAAAAACTCGCATGGGTTGCTTAAGGCTTGTTAAGCCATACGTTTCTTTTACGATGTTAACGTAATTTGTTCTTATGTCTTACTTTTTTCTCTGACAAGTTACTTTTTGCGTTGTTGTCATTCAGGACGCCTTTTGTTCATGGATACATCATCAACAGCGGTGGGGCCACAACCTGGAGGAAATCCTTTGGAGTCACTAGAGCCTATTACTCGTCAGTCAGGAACACTAGATCGACCTCAAGAAGCATAAGTCACTTCGCTCCAAAGCTTAATTTGGCATAGTCATACCATGTGGTGGGGACACCTCGGGTTTCGCCCTTTATCATCTTATCCAGATGTGCTTAAGACGACTATGACGAGAGATTTCACGAATGATGCCTGTCAGTGATCGTTTTGATTCCCACTTAAAGGTATTATGCAGAGTGGTGGAAATAGTAGTTTTGTGTGGTTCCTTATGGTTTTTTAGTCACAGGAAGGTGCGATGTTCCATCTATTATTCTCTATACGCTACATATGATCAAGGATCTTGTTGTTGATGCTGAGCTTGTAACCTTTTTTTTAACCCGCAATTTGATATAGTTGACTAGGTGTACTTTCAATCTTAGCAATCTCCCTATTCGATCACGATTCGACAGTATTCTCTACTCGCAGTGATCTAATGTGACATTCTAATAGTAGATGCACTGAATCCAAAACAAATTTTAGCAGCCTGACGAATATTTCATTGTAATTTACAACGTCAGATACAACAGAAGAAGTATGTCACGATAATGGGTTGTCGTTCCACAGATGATGTGAACGAGATGTGTGTTAGTGCTTTTCAGAACAATCTCCCAGGTTTATCGGATGGACAAGTGCCAAATATCTAATACTGCAAGTGACTGTAGGAATTGATAAGACAATTGATCTTTAGAAAACATTCTGTTTTGGTGGACGTTGAGAACATACATGGTTACCCAGACTTGGTATACGGCAGCGCATGCAGGCTTCTACTTCTCACATATCGATTGCAAGTCCCCCAGCGTTAAAACCATGGAACAATTTGCATAAACAAACATACTGCTGCTGAAGGGTCCAACGTCACGATTTGCTCATTAAGGGGAGACCAACTTAGCTGCTCTGTGTGATGCCTTAGATATATTACATTATTGAATGTAATCTGGCAACCTTTTGACTACAAAATATTACAATATTGGTTGAACCTGACAAAACTTCAGACAATAAGCGTACACATTAATTACACTTGAGCGCTATGCCACAAAAGCTTCAGAGAGGTTTAGCACTGACCGAAGGAGTGTGATGAACCTAGGCAGGTGATGGGTTAAGGGTTAATTACATATTGTACAGTAAGATTTAGACAAGGGTTTGAGGACATACGAGTGAAACTTTGACCTGGGGATAGTTCCTCTGTAATCCCAGCAGATTCGTGAAAAACATTACGTTGTCCATGCTTTTCCGTAATTGTCCGGCATCGATTCTCAGAGTCTGCAAGGCTGGTGCACATTTGAGGAGGGTGGCTATCACGGAGATACAATCGTTGTTCCCACAACCAATCACGACCACGATGTTTTCCAGTCTTGGGAGGGTCATTGCATGCATCCGCATAAAAGCTGCCCCGGCGCCCCCTGCGGTTTGTAGACACTGTATAACAAGTAAACAATCAAACATACTCAGGATTAGAAAAGTACGAAGCAAATCTGCAGCACTCAGGTATCTAGAACATCCGAGTATACTACTCCTTATTCCTCGATGGATATATAATGCTGGTTAATTGTGCTCTATGCCTATCATTCCATGTCTAGGTTCCTCAAACCATTTTGCACATTACAAGGTCGAAACGAAATAAAAAATAACCACAGCGAGTGCACAAGTACAGAGTTCAGAGAAAACCTCAAAAAAATCAGCGCCAATGTGTATGGATACGAGCTCCTGCAAGTGACGGAGTAGTGATTGCAACTGGATAGGGTACTTGCGCTCAAAATAAGCATCAATATGGAGAGAGCGCAAATTCGTCCCCAGTCGAATCAAATGGGTCACAGAATCCAACGCCCATGCCTCTCCGCTTATGTGCAGATTTTCTAACACAGGAAGTTCCCTAATGGTAGGTCGGACATGCCAAATCAGATCAAGATTTTGTAATGTGAAGCCATCTATCACTAGTTCCTCCACATGGCACAGAGACACGGTAACCAGGTTCGGTGCATTGACAGCGACAACAGTGATTGGTGTTGTAGCCACATCCATGTCATTTGCAAACTCCAAGCATTTTAGCTTAAAGGCTGTCAAATGAGGTGTTCGCAGACCCTTGCAGGAGTTTAATTTTAAATCCTCGAGCATTGGTGCGAGCTCCACAAGTTTCTGAAGGGCACTATCACAGATGAAAATCAAGTCAAGATGAAGGGTTACCAACTGTTCAAACCTTCCCGGCAAGATAGGCATCTCAGGGATGAAACCGTAACAGAGGTTTAACCACTGCAACTTTTTACATTCTGTGAGATGGAGTAGCTTCATAGGTTGTGGCTTGACACGGTTTGGATCAACAAGTGTAAGTCGCTCCAAGGAAGTATTTACATGCTGCAGCCACTGACAAACCTGTGACATCCAGGTCACCAGCAGATTCTTCATTATTAAAAAAAGATGAACTTCATGTAAGCTTAGCGTGAGTATTAACTCATACATTTTCAGAACAAGTGTGGCAGTCAAAAACATTAGTAGTGTACCTTGTCCTCTGAAAAATAATCGTTAGGTATCCAAGGCCACACGACTGGGTGGTAAGAGATCTTAAGAACTCGAATGCCATGGGTCATTAGTAACATTTGCGTTACAATTTTTTCCAGGCATGTAGCATTTCTGGTTTTATCCAACTGTTCAGATGAGAGTATTCGAGGCAACACAAACGTTAGAGACAGATGATTTAATCAGAACAAGGAACTCGATGTTTGCAATTTAGAATAAATTGAACACATGTTAAGTGGAGGTATATACTAGTACAAAAAACAAGGAAGTAGCCTACTAACAGCTTCTGCACGAGAAACTCACTTTCTTTTCCAAGAGTTTGAATGACTCAAAAGTTAGAGTATCCACTAGCCTTGCTAGCATTTTCCATCGGTGGCACACTATAGCACATTGAGCAACCATTTGCGCATTCTCAAGTTTCGATAATATCAAACAAGCTATGGAATCAGGTAGCACGTCAAAGCTCGCCATTGCTCCCATGTTACAGACACTGCCAGAAGGCCAATCACCCCATTATTTCACTCGTAGTACAATGGTGGTATTCGCAGATACTCTGCTCAGAATCTTCGAAAATGCCCTAATCATCCTACAGAAATCCATGTACCTGCAAACAATGTTCAAAAGTGGACAAGAGAATCAGAGGGACCTCTTCTTCCCGATTGATTCAAAGTAAAAAGTCTGCTGAACGTTAACGTTTATCGAAAACAACACGAACGCATGTACCAAAGGCAGGACAAAGTCTAATGCATGGATATTTTTCCGTAGCGTTCATGAGTAACTCGGCTAAATATGCTATGGTCACAAGATATTACTGTTCTTAATTAGAAATGGACATCCTTGCTACAGCCAACATTTCAGCGGAGGGCATCCTCCCAATAGGTTTCTTACCACGTTTATCGCAGCTTCATATCTTGTTTATCAGTTATCACCGAGACAAATTCCAGAAGGAAAGATGGCAACAACTATCGGTGCTCTCACTGGCATTCCGCTATTTTCATATAAAACCCTTATGTTTATGAACCATACGAAGAATACTTAATATCAAACACTAGGTTAAAAAGCTCCACTGTAGTCTACCCCATTGAAATGTTTGAAAATCTCCGAATGTCCTGTATTGAGCACCGTGTGTTTCACCCTTTTTCCGTCAGGTAAAGTCACCTACTTCATGCTGAAAAAACATCCTATTCCACTTTCATGTTTTTTTCCATCAAGCATATCCTCTGTAATCAAGCGAGCATACAAAACTTTAGTAACTTTTCACGTATGATACACTTATTCAAAACCCTTCCTACAATAATCTGACTTCCCACGAAGGTGCTGTAAAGAATGTGATCATGGCGAAGCAAAGTGCTGCCCCCTGATTCACAGGTAATAAATTGAAATCCAAAACAATTTCTTTGGAGAACTGAACGCTCCAATAATTATCCAAAGAAAAACATACTAAGCTGGGATTAATGAAAGATAGAGTGCAGAATCATGCGAAGAGAGCCTAACGAGATGGCAGGGCAGTCCAAGAAAAAGGTCAACGGCGAGAATACACACCGAAATTGTAAACTATCAAACTCACTCCATCAATCAAACAAATTCCGTTGCAACAAGAGGCTAGTATATAACGAACCTGGAAGGAATTCAGAAGGTTAACAAAGAAAACACAAACTATTCGTATTCTGCAAGGTCCTTCCAGAAAGGACTAACTTGTAACAATTCACAAAAACTAGAACCAGGATGGTCGACACTCGAGACTCAAGTCTCCAGAACTCTACGAGAAGTCACAAAATTGAGCAATTCGGTGTGACCCAACTCAACCAAACTGTCACGTACCGAAATTGGAAGAGGAACTTCATAGTTGAGACATAAACATTGTGTTCGTCAACCCTCATCCAGGCCGGTCATAACAGTTCAGGAACCAACTTATGAACTACGCCTCAAAAGGCTCTCAATAAGAAAGAAAACCACACATCTCAATGATTCTACAGAAAGAGCGACAACCAGCAAACAAAGTGACCTCAATTTGGAAAATCAAGCAGATGCCCACCTACTCTCCGCACTCGCTGCTCGTAAAATTGCCGTCGACATCACAATCTACGCGACCACACCGTAGCCCAATTTCAGCTATTGTGATGAACACACAACTTGGAATCAAAGTCTCGAAACCCGAGAACACAGCGCAGACGCAAGAAAAAGAAGAAAAGAGAAGAAAAAAGAAAAAAGAAAATAGTTGCAGTTACTACAACGCGACGACGGCGGCCCTCGAAGACTAAAGAGGGACCCAACAAGCAACCAAATCTTACCCAATTGTGGAGAAGGAATTATAGCGAAACCACGCATGCAACCCTAGAATTGAGCTGAGGTGCAATTCATGAAGCATCGTGGACATGGCGCAACCGGATTACTCCACGGTTTTCAGAAGAAACTACTACGAAATCCCTTTGGATACGTGACCAGCCCAGTGATTCAATCTGTACCCTTAGCCGCTAATTTATCCACTAATCCCACTACCTAAGCCTCTTTTCTCTTACTAATCCCTCGTCTGTCGTGAAAGCCGTTTGAAAGCTTGCACAGCAAAGTTGCCCTACTCAGACTTTAATTCTGACAAGTCTTTGGTCCATCCACCAGATTCGCCATCAATTTTGTTCTATTTGAGGATGTTAGACTTGCTTTGGCATGATACTTCGATGCTGCTCTTGCCTGTCGATTTCCCCTTCACGGCGAGATGACGCGTGTGGAACAGCTAGTAAAAGAATGTGGGGTACGTCATGAAGACCAGCTTTTATTGTTAGTTTGGAATGCCAATACTGTGAACAGCAGAAAGTACGTAACGAGAGCAGAGTCAGGGTCAATCAAGTTCCCTACTGATTCAAACAATTTTGTTGTAAGGTAAATTCGAAACTTTGTTGAGTGCTTGCACTTGCGAAGCTGAGATAAGCCTTAGACTTGAGACGTGATTAATCTATGCACGTTCGCCATGCATTTCATGCCTACATTCGACTTCGACAAAACCCCGTTCACACATCCAGTCTAACATGCTAACGGACCAGAAATCATCATACTTCGTGAAGAGAACTCTTCTAGTCTGCTCTCTGTTCTCATTCCTCCTCCTCCTTTTGTGAAACGACGAAGTCTTTGGCAACTAGATACCCTGAGCACACTAAAATATTCAAAACTTTGAAGCTCTAAAACAAAAAGATTGAGAAAAAGGCCTTTCCTCAAGCTGATTATCAACCTGGTGATATTCCGAAAGTGCTCTAGTAGTACCCAATAATGATGTAGTACCTTCCAAATCGCTATGAGTGGAAGACTTTGATGACCACAAGTTCAGCATAGATGACACTGAAGCTTAGCCTTCGGGTGGATATGTCAGATATTTTGCTCTATGACAAAACATGAGTTCAGCATCGCACAGTGTGGGCATTAAAGACTAGATGTCTCTAATATACATCTAGCTTGAAGTCCTAGAGCTTAATCAACACCCACACAGTGTGGGCATTAAAGACTAGATGTCTCTAATATACATCTAGCTTGAAGTCCTAGAGCTTAATCAACACCCACACAGTGCAGTGTATCAACATCATACTAAAATAAACAAAGGCCAACACAGACCCCAACATCACGTGGTCCGATTCATCACCTCCCCATTTCGCCAGATGGAGGTCCCACTGCAAGCGTCAACAGGTTGCACAAGCACACCAAGCTCAGTGTCCCCAACTTCCCATCTAAGATACCAACACCCAACAAAAAACTGCACGAAGAGAAGGACGTTTAGCAATCTGCTCGCCACAATCCACAAATTCTCGCTAGCCAATACGATCCTATATCGTTTTTCAGCAGTTGCACTCTGCTTTGAAATCCTGATGTTGTCTTAACTGACTCTTCATGCTGGAACAGATTCCAGGGAAAGCACAATAAATCGGACGTGCTACTCTTGGCTAGACTGGATAAAGTGACGGTATGTCTAACTAACACTTTAGGTCTGCAAGAGAAACACAGTACTGTATAGAGGAGGCTTTTCCAGTGACACTAATATTGCTCTTGAAGGATGAACAACGAAGGGGATGAAACAAGGAAAGAGTTTCAAAGAAAGAAATAGCACCTAGTATCCCACCTAATCAATCAGTTGCCTTCTGCCCGACATTTGGTTACAGACTAACTTTTACTCAACTTAACAAATTATAAGATATGTTCACTCTCAAGCCAAAAGCTTGGAATCGGATTAGTCAACCGTCGATTTCATTGATCTTCTTTAGAATAAGATGTCGGTCCTACCCGTTTGATGGGCTGAAATGCACAACGCCCAAGTCAGGTGTCGGAATACTTGCATTATTGCTGTCAACAGGATTTTTCCGTTTCGTTTGACCACCTGAGCTACTTTCCTGCAACCATCAAAAAGAATGTTCTAAGAGGAGCATCAAAACTGCAAAAACTAGCATTTGAAGTGACAATTGCAGCGTCGATGGACGCGAGAGCAGCGTCTAAATCAACAGCTTACAAATTGAGTATGTAAGGAAACTGTCTAGTTTAAATCTTCATTGTGATCAGGAGTAGAACAAATCCCTGCTTAAAGAGAGCATGAGAAGTTATAGGAACTTTTCTGAGGTACCCCGCATAACAAACACATATTTTATGGCAAGAAATCTCGATATCTTCTCACTAAAGATAACTTAACATTTTTGGTCCTCAAACACGTCATCAGACGAGCCAAAAGCTTTAAACTCATCTTCTGTGTGATGCATTGTCAACCAGTACCTGGATTCACGAATCTCACGTTGATCAATCCAGCGGCTATGAATAACACCTTAACTATTGTCAATACAAAAAAATTAGAACCCTGGAAAAATAAACAATGATAAAAACTATGTTGGCTAATTTCTAGAAATTCTTGTTATGTAAAAGCAGCATCCAAGACATTGACAGGTGAAGAATCTTTCTAGTCTGATTTTCAAGCTGGCATCTTGGTGTGTGACACGACCTTCATTCACTAGGTCGCTTTGGCAGTAAGATACCAGAAAGAAGATAAAGCTATGTCTCGCACTGGAGCCGCCTAATGTAAAGAAAAACGACCTTGTTTACAATAAAACACTCATCTTCCTCCAGGTCTCACCTTCGAAATCAGCATCAATGTATTTCCAAATTGTAGAGGTTCTCAAATTTCTGTACGGCCCCTTGCACCTACGCATTAAAAATACTCGAAGAGTGAGACCAGGCTGGACTTGAACCAGATTTATGAGCTTGGACCAAGACTCTAGCCACTGAAAGCGGCCTAAATCAATATCTGCTCTCAAAGTTTCTCTAAAACCAGCACATTGTTCCAAAACACACAGAACAGAATAGTAGCCATCTTCAGATTCTCACATAGTCCAGGGCCATCAAACCAATATATGTACGTGCGTATAGGTATAGATACACACACACACACACACGATTGCACAAGAAAGAACTGTCACCATGAAACAGAACTTCCCAGTGACAATAGTTTAGGAAACTGTGTGATAGCAGGGCGTTCTCGCTCACAGGCTATCCCAATTCCACGCCAGGTCTGCAACGTCCGCTTGTACAGTGAACCATTGATGTAAACTTTCCAATCATCAGTTTGATTACCCTTGATAAGTTCGCGAATATCTCTCCCATAATTTACTGGTTGCTTTCAGCAATTCTCCGTCATGTTTTCTAGTCAGGGATTCGTGTATAAGCACGTGCATCAACATTCCTTAGACTTTCACCATGATGCACAAGTAAGATTCTCTAAAGACGAGGCAACATACCTATATCTAATCATTAATTAACTCTAATGGAGCCGAGATGAATCACAATGTGCATTGCACATATCAACATGCTCCAAGAAAAGCAGTCAATCATTGATTCTGAAAACTCGACTAGTCTGGCTCCAATGGATGACCTCCTGTGTTTTGTATCCCTCAATTAACCTCGTGGCATCTTCGTCGTGCCTATTCAGTAATGAGATCGAGTAAGAGCGATTCGCAGATTTCTAGAGTTCTAAAGACAGACGCATGGAGCAACTTCTCCACAACACTGGATTGATAGTTCTGCGAAATAGCATCAATTGATCGAAATGACGCGCCGATCCTGAAACTCGCTTGCATCTATCACTCCACTGCATTGGACGCCACATACTGAACTCCTAACAATGAGCAAGTTTGACATAGCGTTGTCAGCTGTTGCTGGCAGCGTCACCTGCTCTGATGCCGTCCTCAGAGCCAGGTTTTGAGGATTATGGAACAATAGGCAAACACCTAAAGTTTCTACCTATCCAGTAACGTCTAACTTCACCCTTTTGCTCCATTCCGCTTCCTCCATGTCCATCTCCAACTGTATCACCATCTCTCCAACCAAGACTGAGAGAGCTAATCCTTCAGTCCGTGCAGCCAAAGCTCATCTACGTCCACATAGACACTCCTCAAAACTCAATCCAATTACGATTCTCTCGTAACAACAAAACACTCCTCAAAATTCGATACCTCACCGTCTTCAATTCCTCAACCCTTTCCCCCTCACACAATTCCTATCGCAACAAAAACAAAAATCTCTCTCTCTCGCTCGACACCGATTTCTTTACACCATCTTCAAACTCGCAACTCATCAACATTCCTACGAAATCGAACTTCTCGTCAAACTCATCCTCTATGTGTCCCGATGTACATTTCAGGCTTTTGACGGTTTTGATCATCAATGACCATGAGGTCGTGCAGTGTGAACAGGAGCTGTTACTGGGCTTTTTGGCACGGAAATTGGTGGATGAATGGATTTCAATCTTGTGGTATCCACACATTTCTTACATAATGCTTGTTCAAGGGCTCATCATGTCGGTTTAGTGCTAATTGCCTTTTAGTGTTTCATAAGAATATTGTATTCAAACAATTAGTCATGTCCAAGTCATGCTATTATGCATGGTTTGCAGCATTTTACAATGGATTGTTTTCTACACAGAGCATTGGACCAAAGGAATTTATTGATAGATAAAATTATTTTCCTAATCTACTTTTGTGTCCTTTCTTTGAATTTATGTATTTAAATTTTTCTAAAATGTATAACTACTTTAATACTGTAATTATTGATATGATAAGAGTTTTTGAAATATATGACACAAGATCCAAAGACATTAACTTTTAGAATGAATCATAAGAATAATTTCATAGTTTGATTTTTACAAAGCATTTTTAACATATTTATAGCAATGTAATAGTAAAATCAAATTATGTCCATATTTATTTTCACAAAATTAATATCATAAAATTAAAATTTTAAATTAAAATTTAAACATGTAAGGAATTCATAGATGTAAGTACATGTTTTTGCATATTTTATTTTTAAAATTTTAGTTGTTAATATTTAGACAAGTTATTTTTTATTTTTTTTAATACAATTCTAGTATTCTAGTAAATTTTATAAGCTATTTTAAAATTTGAAATATCAATACTTTTTTATAATTGATATGATTCAAGAAATTATGCATGTATTGATATTTTGTTACATTTTATATAGTATAAAACCATGTAAAAATAAAAATTTCAAAAAGGAAATTTTCCAAAGAAATATATACATACATATATAAGATATGATTCTGATCTTATTTTAACTAATTAGGATAAAATACAAAATTAAGTTAAAACTATTATTTTGACGTTTTTTTAATATATGCTATATTATTTCAAATATGATATAAGCTTAGATAGTTATAAACTTGAAAAAAAATCAAAAGCCTCTTTAAATTAAAAGGGATAGAGTGCTAATCAATTTGATCTCAAATGTATATAATCGAAATGCTATAAAATAGTATTTACATAAATATATAGCTCCTATTAGGTATTACAGAATGATGTATGTGACTTTTTTCAATGTTGTTAGCTTGCAGCTTTTCACTCATTAAATTGATTAAAACTGGTTGCATCAAATAATAACATATCAACAAATTCATTGAAAAACATGTTTAAAAAAACATGACATAGAAAAATTTAAAAATTTAATGATTGATTGATTGATTTAGTATTGTGAAAATTCGCAAAAGATAAAGAAGATATGAATATTTTTGCAAATATATAGTGATGTTAGAAAGAAATTTAAAGCTAATGATATGCACACAGCTCTATGTTTTCATACCCAATTTCAGGCTAAAAAAGAAGCCAAACTTATAGAGCATCATGTTTAGATAGGCATTATTCCTAATCAAAACCTGTACGTGAGATTGTGTGTGTGTTTGTGCATATATATATATATATATATATATATAGTTTCAACCCGAAATACACATAAAAAAATTCTAAATTTTGGATCGAAAATCCGCAAGGCGAACGAGAGTTTTAGCCCCAAAGATAGGGACTTGCCTACAATTGGACAGGATGGGAAATGCTCAGTGCCTGCTCTGATTTAGATGTTGAGTGGTGGATTTAGTGGGTTACATCTACAGTAAAGGTATCGCTGTGGAAGCAGAGTGGTTCACAGTGCTCAGGTTCCCAAATGAGAACGGGGGCATGTCGACGATTGCGCAGGTCTGCCACAAGCGAGCAAAGCGTTCACACCAAGACTTGCCTCTGCGCTTCGCTGCCTCTCCCTCGCATTTTACCGAGGAGGGTATGAATCTCTGTGTGATGCCTCACTGATTATCTGCTGTGCCGCGCTTTGTTGCGAATTCCCAGCATGGTGCAGGGCAAGCTCTGAACTGAACACCATGGGGAATTTCTTTAAGGCAGACATCGCGTCATTGTGTTCGGGGTTCTAGTTGCAGGGCAGTTGCGAACGAGAGATGTTGTTGGTTGTATATGCGTGTGAAGTTGGAGCGGCCGGAAATGCTTGAGAATTGGAAGCGGAAAGTTAAATATAGGAGGATGATGGATGGGGGCAGGGGAGCGGGAGACGAAGATGGTGGTGGAGGAGGAGGTGGAGCAGGAGTCGCGTTGGCGACAGATTTGAGCATGTGTTTCCAGTGCGGGAATCTTATTGAGAATACTGTGACCTATTGTCATACTTGCTACGACTTGCGATCGGAGAGCGACTTCCGAAATGAGCAGCGGTGGCGGAATCTCGAGAGTAATTTGTTGGCAGTGGAGGCCGATCTGCAGAAGGAGAGAGCAGCCACGAAGCGTTTGGAAGGGACGTTACAGTCTTTTAGGCATATGTTGTTGCAAGGTATTCATGCCGACGTCACGATCGAGACGGGAGAATTTGACAAGACACCTGCACATCGCGCTGTGCTTGTAAGTATTGCACGCATGCCTCTATATTTTATGCTGCTTCTGAAGCTTAGGGTTGGACCTGCCTGTCAGTTGTTCTTGCAGACGTGGTGCAGCGCATCTCGTTGTTTTTCACTGGTTATGGTGAGGGTTAAGTTTTTTTCCGACTTGATTAAGTTTTAAGGTTATGTGCTCCTTTTCAAATCGCATGTTGGTAATTGTTGTTGATAAGGGTGTATGCTTGAAGCTGATTTAACAGCAATAAAATTACATCACGCAACAACGTTACTAATTGAGTTCAGTGGATTTGCTCTCTCTTCTATTGAAATCTCTCAGCATGTATGTAATGTCGCTCTTCTTTTTAGAGTATGGGCTCTGTTACGTACTGAATCTATCCTCCGCTCTCCGTCAAGTTTTTGTGCTATGGCAACTTGCTTTGAAATGAAACATATGTTTGTTTGGTTGTGTCTCATAGTGAGAATTTAAATTCCATTTTATATACACGTAGTTTTTTTGCCGTAACCTTACAGCTTTCTTACACCATATTATCTACCTTCACGAGGCGGAATTGTTTAGTACAGTGTAATTAGAATTAATTGAAGCTCTTTTATGTTCACACTTTGTTGTATTAATATCCTTACAATGGATTTGTTGGTGACCAGGCTAGTAGATCGCCGGTCTTTAGAGCAATGTTTGAACATGAACTGAAGGAGAAGACCTGTGCCTGCATACACGTCGCTGACGTGCCCACTCCGGCCATGCGCGCTTTGCTGCTCTACCTCTATACGGGTAAAAATTTACATCTCATTCATGTTTAGCCGCTTCACAAACGGAGAATTGCGCTCGGACAATCTAATTGAATTTGGTTTACATTATCATACAATTTCTATTGTGATCTTCGAGTTGATGGATATTGTGACGTCACTAGTAAGGTGGGGAAGTATGTAATAGTACCACTAGAATTACTGCCCTAAATGGTTTCAATGAATCCTTATGCTCAAGCACTACTCCTTTGCCCTCTGAGTTACTAAAACGTAAGTCCTCTGCTTCTGCAGGAGATCATGACGCAAAAGTCATGAAGGAGCACGGCATGGCTCTGTTAACTGCTGCACACAAGTACGACATTCCTGACCTCAAGAGGGTCTGTGAAACGGCAGTTGCGAATGCAGTTCAACCTTCCAATGTGCTAGAGATTTTACATCAAGCACGATTATATGATGCGACTTGGGTAAAAAAAGCTTGCATTGAATGCATTGCTCAAAATTTGAAGCAGGTAGCGTTCACCAAGGAATTTCGTAATCTCGTATACAGAAATGATGACCCAGAAGCTATCCTAGACATAATACAAAGTATTGCCGCTCTTCAATAATCGTTTTCTTTCGCTTCTCTTTCCTTCGTGTTTTCGTCTCTTTCGATCTTATTAACGGGGAGGTGCTCTGTCGGAGCTTCGTAATGCACTCTGTGGAGAACAAGAACCTTGGCGAGGAGAAAGCTTCTTTTGAAGCAGATTGCATATACTCAAAGTTAATGTGCAGTACAGTGTAAAATGTCTGGAAATAGGAAAGTTGTCTATAATTGTCAATCCAGAGAAATAGGTTATTGGTCTTAAACATAGCACTTCTGCTGCCTGCGATGGACCATCAAGAGTTAGTTTGTGTCGTGTGGGATTGCTCAGGTACCAATCCGCACAGATTCTCATTAATTCTCTGTACTATTAAGCATCTTGCTAAAACATATATTATCTTTCGTAAGGATTTAGGCAGATTCTGCATGTCAATCATGCCATAATGTTAGCCCTTTGTTGGTTCTTTGAATATAACTCCAAACGTGTAACAAACGTCACCTACAGCACAGTGTGCGTTTGCCGAAACTATTCCCTCTGCAGTGATCCCTATCCAAGGAACTGCCGTGAGGCATAAATCCACAATTTACCCTTACGCCTAACATGACACACTTTGATCCAGTTTCATTGAATTGCCTACAGACTCGGTTGTCATGCTCATCCAACGAAAGAGGATTTCTTGCTTATCCAACTGGATAGTTGAGGTGGGTTGCCCCCTTTCTTCTAGAGCCCAAATTATTTTGGATTGTTTTTCCTTGGATATGCTACTGAATAGGGGCATTACATTTGACAATATCCATATATGGTGTTGGTTAGGCTTGGTTTTGTTTGTTGCTGCTAAATGTTCTTGTGGTTGTTCTAGCAACATTTTTAGTTGTTACAACTTGCTTAGATGTTAGTTGCAATGTATTTATTTGCAATTTATAAGGTTGATATTGTGAATTGCCTTGTCCCAAGATATATTACTAGTAATAATTCGTCCTTTGCACTTTATAAGGTCAGCATTGTGAATTATTTGAATATATTTTACTTTTGTGGTTGAACATGATTATGTCCAACCTTAACTTTATTCTAAAAATATGAATCTAAACAAACTTATAAGAATAAAATACATCTGTATATAACTAAAGAAGAGGGAAAGAAAACTTATATACATATATATATATATATATATAGTAAAGTAAAGAGATACTAAAACAACTTATATTAATTACAAAGAAATTAAAATAGAAATTCAAGAAATACAAAGGTTATATTAAAGATGCTTTCAAACTTGTATGTATACATAATTCTTAGCAAAAAAAAAACTACATAGAAACTTCTTTGATGTTTTGTTAACTTCAATTTTTAAATTATTTAAAAGAAGTTTCATCCAAAATGATCACCAAAGTTATGAAAATGATGATTAATTAAAACTAAAGAAAAAAAAAATAGTTTAGAGTTTAGACATCTTTATAGATAATTCATAATTTGGAATTTGGCACTTGATGTATATATATATATATATATATGTATATATATTTCCAAGTCTAAAACCTAAATTTTGACTTGGCAAAAGTATAGTTTGGACTTTGGCACTTATAAGTATAAAAACTTGGATATCTTATTTAGTGATCTTGAATCAAGACTTTGGTAATTACAAGATTTGGCCAACTTGAAGTTTGGCAATTCAAGCTTCAATAAGAAAAACCTTTAAGAATTTTGATCTTATTAGCATTTAACTTTAAAAAGACTTACAAATATGTTAATGATTGTAGTCAATTTAAAATCTTATAAATTAATATTAGTAAATAAAAATCTTTTAAAAAAAATAATCATAATTGATCATTAACTCTATTTTTTTTCTAATTGTGTTGAATTTGAAACAACTTGAAACAAACTCAACAAACAAGTAAATTGAACAAAAAATCAAGAGAATTTTGTATCAACTTCATTTATAAGCCACAATAAGAAAAAACTTACTTTTGCCAATATAAGAATAAAGAGCATTGTTAAATTAAATCTAAGATACATTAGCTCAAATCAAACATAAGATTTGAATAAGTTTAATAATTATTAAAGATAAGAGTGTGATTTTTTGTAGATTTTTTGTATACTTGTATTACTTCTAATTAATTACACCAATTTTTTCTTTTCTTAGGTAGCTACTTTATTAATTTGACATAATTTTTTTTTATTCAATAATTTTATTTTTTAAGAAGGTTAGATACATATGATCTATTGTGACATCTTATCCATATCTAAGATGTCTATTGCTTGGATCTTATTGGTTTAAGTTTATGTATTATTTGGATCCTATTGGTCTAGATTTGTTTATTATTTGGACCCTATTGGTTTGAATCTAAAACCTAATTAATCAAGTTGCTTAATATGTTTTTTTTAAAAAAACAAGTATTATTTATTTGATCTATTTTACTTATTTTTATATTTTTTCAAGAAAAAAAAAATATATATATATATATATATATATATATATATATATGCATTAGGATTAACTAATTTAGAAAGAATATAAAAAATAATAAGTAATATATGATTAATATAAAAATTTAATTATTATAATATAAAAATTTAATTATTATAATATAAAAATTTAATTATTATAATATAAAAATTTAATTATTATAATATAAAAATTTAATTATTATAGTATAAAAATTTAAAAATAAATTATTCTATTAATAATAATTAATCAATAAATACTAGCATATCTTTCAAAAATAAGTTTTTTCCAATTAGAATTGGCTATTTTAAAATTGACATGAATATGTAAAAGTTAATTATAATAAAATAATAGAGATATATTTCACTTAAATTTTTTATATTACAAAATGTGTAGATAGACTAGAATTAGGTAGTATTAAATTGATTTATATATAACGAATTGATTAGGATAATTTTTATTCTACTTGAAGCTTATCATAGGAAAAAATTTACTAAAAAAAATAAAAAGAATAAATTTTATAATATACATATAAGAAAATTTTAAATACATGGTATTTATGATATTTAAAAGGTTAGATTTATATCACGTTTTTTTATTATTTAGTGAATTTTTTTTGTTGCATAAATATTTCAAGAACTCAATTTTCTGAATTAATTTTTTATGAAGTAAAATTAAATTTAACGCAAATGAAGTTGAAACTCACGTCTCAAATCAGATCATAAGATCAATTAAAAGTTTCTTGTAATTATTATTTTGAAATAAGAAGCATAATTGAGGAAAAAAAAGATAAGAAAAAAAAATAAAGAACAATTAAAAGAAGATTTTTAAAAAAAAATCACAATTCAAAACTAAATATAATTTTTTTGCTAAATTTTTATAAGATAAATGATAAGAAAATTAAAATAAAATATATAATTATTTTATCTTTTTAATGATATAAAATATTGATATCTAAGTTAATATATGTTTATTTTAATAATTTAAAGATAAGAAATAAAACATAAAAAATTATGCAAATGAGATTTACTTCAAGGATAACTTGGTTATATGGTCAAGAATTCAAGCCTCAAAAAGATTCATAAGTGGTGTATAGGAAGTCCTAGGAGGGCCACAAGGCCTTAGTCTTACCATTGTAATTACCTCTTAGGTGCTACAATCTATATAAGACATATTCACTTAATTTCATATTTCTACTAGTTGCTTGTTAGTCTCATATTTTTTAATAAAATATATTTTTTAAAATATTAAATTTATTATAGTAATAAAAAATTACCCAATCAGATTTAGAAGCTTATATGACCTTCAAATCTTACTCAAATTCTTTATAATGGCCTCTAAAAGTAGTAAAATCAATTTTATAAAAATCCTAAAAATCTAAAATGATAGTATTCAATTAAAACTACTTTTTTAGATCTTGGTAATTTTTATAGAAATAAGATTTATATTATTCAACTAAAAATCCTATTTTCTATATAAATTACTAATAAGCCATGACTTCTTCATAATTTTTGTAATGTATGCTTCTTTTATCTATTAAATATTATTTATGTGTTTTTATTAAATATTATATAAAAGTATAATATACTGGTTTTATTAATTAAAGAAAAAAATTACTAAATCAATGTAGATAATATCATTAAGCTGTATTAAAACTTAATTTTTTATGATTTTTCATTTAATAAGACTCTTTTTACTTATAAAGCCTTCTAAATCTTCATTATAGTTAAAAAATTAAAATAAATCTTATAATAAATATTTTTCTTATGTAAATAAATTAAAAATAATATCTCTAATTAATTTACCTATTAATTTGTATTGACGATACTAAAAATTCACTCAATTGTAATATTATCAAAACAATCTAATTTTCTAGTCAAAGCATATATAAAGGTTGAAAAATTCAAAAAAATACCTACAAGATTATTATACAAAGAAATTACATGACCAAATTTTATAAATAGATAAACTCAATTGCTCACCTCTTTCTATTATCCCTCCAATCAACAACTCTATCTTCTTAAAAATATCTTCTTTCAATTTTGGTCTAACTTAACCAATCTTAGAAGAGATTCTAGCTGATGTCTATATTTTATGGAGAATAAGAATAAAAATTTTAAAGGATCTTTGGAAGGAGCTTCAAGTGGAGCTTCTGATGGAGTTTTTTTTAAAGGATAGGGTATGTACATGGATCTATTCATTGCTAATATGTTTCAAGCCTTATCATTATTTATGTAGCAACAGCAAAGTAATGATCGCAAAGAAGCTTTAGCAACCAAAGCATTGCAAGCAGTGGTCAATAAAATTGATGAATTTGATGGAAGGGATATTTCAAAGTATATAAGATGTTATGTTTGAGAAATGGATATAAATCGGATTTTTGAGAAGAAGATGGTTGAACTATTTGGACTTGCCACGATATCGGAAATAAGAGAACATATTACATCAATTATAGAGCATTAGGAAAATTCATGGGAGATTTTTTTGCATGCATTAAAAGATGAATATTTCTTAGAGGATATTGATCGTGTTACTAAAAAGCTATTTCTAGAATGGATTGAGCGGCCTAATAAGAATTTGTAAGCAACAAAGCTACTAAGAAAATTTGAGAGGTAGTATTCTCAATTATCGAAGGTAGAAAAATTGACATTAGAGTCGAACAAGGTTGAATTATTTCTTCAAGCTACTGATGGAAAATTACAAGGGAAATTGGAGTTGCTTCTTGAAGACAAAGAAGAAGATGAAGGATTAACAACAAAGTGGAAAAATATTGAAAATGCAATGGATTTGCTTGCAAAAAGAGAAAGGAAGAAGGATAGGAGTAATATTCCAAAAGCAGTACAAGCACCTAAAATTCCAGTACATACAATACGACCAACAATGCCTATTGTTCATCCTTCAACATCTTTATCAAAGAAAAGAGACATGGGGATTGAAGAAATTATATATGGAATGCGAGATCTTCAAATCAAATTGACAAGACTCGAAGAAAATACTTCTATAAATAATTTGAAGAATGTTTCAAACAAGGGTATGTACAAAGATGTATCTGGTGTGATGACA